CTGTCCCTCTCTGCAGCCGTTTTGCACTAGTTCAGAGATGGTTCTGAAATGTGTAGGGCGGAACTAGCGCTTTAAGAGACTGTCTCTAAATTTTACTGCAGGGAGAATATTCACACACATGCACTAACACTATTTTACGCTCGGCACACAAAGCGAGAGCATGTACAATGACTAAGTTCTCTGTTGATATGAATTGGTGTTACATGGTGTAGTGCTCAATTGAGCCATTAAACAAATTAGTTATACCGAAATGAGTAGGAGCACTAAGAAGCACCAATAGTTCAGTAGAGTGATTTTAGTGAATTTAGTGATTTTCGTCGTTTATAGCAACAAAACATGTACAAACGACGAGAAAGCGACAGCATGCGAAGTCACACTAACACACTCTCACTTTTAGCTCACATTTGTTTATGATGGCGCCCGCATATCGCACAGCGTTGGGAAATTAAATTGTTCCTTCAGTACGAAATCTATACAAAAACTATACTTTTCGACTGTAAATTGCATCGACTTTTTAATTTGCTCATATATTTTCTTAGTACATGCATACATAGATTCCCTTCAAGATCAATGATTTGATGGTATTCATGGGAAAGTTTATGTATGTACATTTTACACTTTGAACATAAATGTGTATGCACATATTTTAAGGTACGAAGTGTACAAACAAATTTTGTTAAGTTATTATGCATGGATAAAGGAGACATCTTCTTTGAATTCAGTACTAAAGTTTGACATTTTATTTTTAGTATTTCAAGTGCTTATCAAAACTTTACGACACTCACATATTGACAAGATTGGCCATTTATCTTAAAATTATTTAATTTTAATTATTTGTATTTGCATAAAAATGCAGTTTATATTTAATTTAATAAAACCCTAAGGTTCAATTTTTGCGCAACATTAAAAAAATCAACAAACTCTCGTAAAATTTTCGGGCTTTTAACGCGATTTCCTAGAAATACATGTTTTGGGAATGCCGTTTGTAGTCCGATCAATTTAAATGAAGTGCAAGTTTAAAATAGCTGCGACTTATCGTTGATTTTTAATATATATATATTTTTTTTGATGAACGTGTTGCTCATTTTCTTCGTTAAAAAAAATCCCTTTTAGATAATATGACATTGACGGCAAATTCCAGCTGCTTTAAACTTGCACTTTATTATACTAAAATTGAAATAGAAAGCTCGAAATTTTTACGAAAGTTTGTCGATTTTTTTAATGTTGTTCAAAGATTTAAACTTATTTGCATACAGTTTTTGTTAAGGAATTAACTATATTTTTATAAACAAATAATTAGAATTAAAAAATAATAAAATAAATAGTCAACTCTAGTCAATATATGAGTGTCGTGAAGTTATGATATTTAAGAACATAAAGAACTAACGATGACACTGTTTCTAACTATATGAAGCTGATTTCGACATTTGGTTTTAATAAGATTTAGTATCGAAAATATTCTTTCAAAACTTGCCTAGGAACGTGGGATTGTGAGGCTATGTTATAATGGTTATTTCAAAACCTTTTTTCAAAACTTACAAAGAGAAAAACGAGAAGGCGAAGACAAAAAGATAAAACGAATTCCCGCAGTGAATTTTCAGAGCTACGTATATATTTATAGTATTCAGCACAAAATTGTACTTAAAAGTACTGCGTAGTAAACGAAATTGTATCAAAAAAGTACAATTGTACCAAAAATGCCAACACTGATGTAGAACAAAGCAGAACACAAATAATATTAAGCTCATTGAAATTATTTTCAGCCTCCCACTCGACCAAATGAGTAAAATCCAGCTGGGTAGGCTATACTCGATAGAGACAAAAATTTCCGCCACAAATAAGAGTTAGTATATTTTGAGTGTGTTCTTGTTTTGGTGGAAATTACTCTTAGTCATTTTTTGAATTAGTGTAAGTGCTCATTTGCACTAATTTTTATGGATCATGAATAAGTACACTAATTTTATTAGTACTCAAAGCCGGTCTCTGGTACTTATGTATATATACATAAATATGTAGAAATTTATTACTCACCAAGCTCTCCCGTGATGAAGGCGCCCACATCCAGTGAGTGGCTTAGCTGAAAACGAGAAAAATTGGAAAGGGACAACGCATATATACTATAATTCCAGTGTCTGACATTCATGGAATACCATGGTGGAATAATAACAAGGTGTTGTCAGTTACTTAACCTCACTTTTTCGGCAGGTCTATTCCGGTCACGCATTTTAAAGTAGTAGAAAAGGTATTAATTATTTACTACTTTTAATCCGTTGGTGCATACTATTTCAAATTAAATGTAGAAAAATGTATAATTACAGGCTTATAAGCCTGAATATATGTTTGTATCGGCAGCTCCGCACAGCTTGGACATATATTGTAACTTTAAAAAAGTAAAGGCTGTAAAATAAGGCAATTTCCTATATGACTGTAAATGATTTTTTAAATAGATTAAAACACCTAAATATCGATAATATAAGCGAATTCCTAATTTAGTCATGCAGCCACTCTATTCTAGTGTATCAGTAGTCCATTTGGCTCAATATTATGACAATTCAGCAAAAGTTATTTAATACAAAAAAAACCGCCTTTCCATACGATTTCTGTGTACGTCTTTTTCCATTGATAACCACGATATCTTTTATTTTTTACATTTTGAGGACAAAAATTATACAAATCCATCAATTTTAAATATTATCATCGTTCTGAAAACACCAAGTTCTTTACAAATCATTTTGGATACTATTTCCCAACGAATAGTAGTATAAAAATTAAGATCGGCAGCACTGAAAATAAGCATGCCGATCTTGTCAAAATTACAACAAACACATCGCTACTGACAACACCTTGTTATTATTCCACCATGTGGAATACTATGACTCTATTTGCTTAATTTCTTCACTATCATAGACTTCATTCTATCACTTACAACACTACGAGGAGGAACAAAATCAAGAATTTACACTATTTTCCGGCAAATATAACTAAAATAATAAAATAATTAATAAAAAGGAGTAGAAAATAAAAAAACAATCCACCAAAACCTGTAGTTATTCTACGAATCCGCGCAATTAAGTTATTAAGGCATACTTGAACAGTGGTGAGTAAGTTTCACGATGAAGCTTAGTAGTAAACAAAAATGTATATCTATCGCTTCAACTCATTTTTACTAACTATGTGCT